TTAGTTCAATTTCTGTCTCAAATAAGCTTAGGTCAGTTTGTTTTGATTAGTTTATTTATGTGTAGTTTATACTTTTTATAAAGGGCTCCTTGGACTTGTATGTAGTTTTATTATGTTCACATGAGAATTTTTTGCTCATTATGACCAGTTTTACTTGTTTTTTTGTTTTTTTTGATGAAGCCAAATTTGGGCAGAATTATGCTGTATACAAAAGTGAACTATTAATACAGCATTTTAATTTCTGAACTTAATATGGAGAAAAACGTTGGCACTGTGGCGCAAATAGGTGGTAAATAAGAGAAGTGATGTGAGGAACATGCTCACTGTCACTGGGCTGTTCAACACTGTTGTACAATGAGTGCGCAGAAGTTTCTAATCTTACGAAACATGAACTTGACGACTGTTTAAGTGTGAATTGCCTCTGATCGTTTTACTCTGGTACTGGCATATCTTCTTGTGCACTTCAGTTACTGGGTGAGTATAGCACTTTTCACAAACAGGGTTACCCTGTGACCAGGGTTACCCTGTGTTAAAGTAAATATAAAGAGTGAAAACTTTACAGAAGACACTCGAGAGGAAGACATAAGTGAATTAAAAATAATGACAACAAACAACAGCAGGATCAGTCATAAAAACCTCAGAGGTTTGATGGATTGTGTTTTTGATAAAACTAAATTTTTTCCTTGTCCAAATATTGGACTACACATGTGTCTTCTATAACTGCAGACGTCCACACAGTGCCTCCTGTGTTCACCACTGTGCCTCAGTCAAAAACAAATACAAACTAATTCAAGTAATTAAAATAAATATAGTAATTTAAATAGTTATAATAATTTTAATATCAAATTCGGAATAAAATAAGAGGCGGTGGGCTGAGCAGAGAAGAAGAATACACATTAGATGTTGGTTTCCACCTGCCAATAAACTGAACAAAGAAGATGACGAGGTAAAAGAAGAAGTCAGAAATCCTTGCCAGCTGCAAATAAAACTCCGGTACTCCTCGTAATAAGAAATGATGAGCTGCTCTATAAAGGTTTTATATACATTGGGATTTTTTAAAGACTATAATATATTTTCTGAATAGTTTTTCTTGTAGCCAATTAACTCTTCATTTGCCATTACACTTTGAAAAAAAGCGATACTCATTCCATTGGAAAGTGTGCTACTGAAACCCAGCGTTGCTGCAAATTAATATTTGAATTTGAATTGACATGTCATACCAAACAAAACAATGTCATGGACCAAGGTGCAATTGGGAGTAGAAAAATAAAACATGGTAATGACTTCAGTTATTCCATATTAGTAATTAATCACTTCATTGTGTATCATCATGTTTGTAAAGAATATTGTCTACATTTGGGAACAGGTTGGGATTATCACAGACCATTTTCTGATTCAATGTCCAGACAGAAAACTGGTACTGTACTGCTGCACCGTATTGTAAAT